GTATGGACGCAAAGAAAAAATAAAGGCAGCGCATACTTGGTGGTCTTGTAGGTGGCGTCAAGGAGAACCAGCTCTGATCCATACCTCCTAAGAAGTCTTTGCTGCCAGACTTCCTGGTGCACAAAAAGAAACTTTTCAGTGCACGGAGATTCTTTGCCAGTACTGTTGTCAGCTTCTCTGCCCTTTGGCCTGTACAGAAATTTGCCTGTGCCTGCTGTCTGCCACTCGAGTACCTTCTGGCGCAGAGACTCTTGATCATCCTTGCAGTACTTGGACGCAGCAATGGCTTTAGTGATGTGATTTCTCAAATCTTGCCTTGTAGGATAGTACTTCCGATTACTTTTCTTAGGGCGCTCTTGAGGTGGGAGTGTGGCAAACATTTCTCTCTCCACATACTCTTCAAGGCATCTTCTTACTTCGTCCGGGCGAGTTACACCTTTGCCAACGAGGTCGTAAATTTTGTTGATAATTCTACGATCCACGCAATGGTTGATGCTAGCGGAAGCTCCAATAGGGTGCCCTTGGTGTTCGGTAGACAAGGGGATCTTGAGGTGGTAGTGCATTACTGTGTTTATCGTCATGGCGCTGGACATGTCATTCTTCAATCGATCAAGAACTTTTTTCTTGGCCAATTTAAGACTATTAGCTGTTTGACAGTTACCCTCCTTCACCTCGTAGTCGGGAAAGATCTTTATCCCCCTCACCTGGATCTGGGCTGGGCAATCTAATTTTCTTGTCCCTTGGAACTTTAAATAAGTTTTAGAGGCTTCATCGTGGTCTGTAGGCTTACATTGAGGATCATTTTTTTTAGACCCACCCCTAGAGTCCTGCAATTGAAGCATAGTACAAACCAGGTCAACCAATCGGCGCTTTAGTTTCGACATTGTCCAATCAGGGGGAAGGGAGGCGGGGCTAATTCGAAATTCGGAGCACTTTTAAATGTTTTAGTTCTTGGAAGGGATGCTTCGGCTAGAGAGTGCTTGCAATAATAAATCATATCAAAGAACATCAAAGACGAAATCCTATCAGTGTTTTAGTCTTGGCTGCTGTCGCATATTTTGTTACTTTTGTTGTGCTTTGATGAGACTGTTAAATAAGGCAAGTTTTGGAGCACCACATATTGGTTGGTGTGATGTCCTAGCGATTTTTACGGACTTAATATAGCTGGAAGTATATGTGGATGATGTAGATAATAATTTGCATCGATGGAAAATCATGTCAGTTTTACCTTAGGTTTCTACTTTAAAATCAGTAACAATCAATTCAACAAATTGTTAAACAAAACACCACAAACTTTATTTTTCCAACACCCCCTGCCACTTTCAAGATCCGGAGACTTTTATGTTTAACTCCCAATCATGAACAATACGAGCGAACTTAACTTTCTGTGCGATTTTACGCTCTTCACTTAGGGACCGACCATTTCAATCTTGAGGGGGAGGGGGTGGGGGTGGTTGATTTCTGCTCATCAAGAATTTTTTTTGCTAGCAATCTGGTGGGCAGGATATTTTTTCCCTTCTTTTCCCACAAGCTTTCTATTACATTTTTGCTGCATGCAATTTTTTTCTTCCGACAAGCGCTTGCAGAATTTTTTTTTTTTCAAAATCACCCACCCCCTCCCCCCCTCAAGAGTTAAGTGGTCGGCCCCTTGCATAAAAATGAGAACAAATAAATAATCCTGATCAACTTCCAAAAATGCTGATAAACAAAATATAATAGAAACTGACGTTTTTAATTTACTATTACCTTTAACGATCCATGAATGCAATGTCTGGATTCAGAGCTTTCTACTGTAAAGGGAACTCCAAAGAAAGTAATGGGGATATTTCCTCTGTTGTGTTCAAAAATGGGCTGAGCTGTATGTGCAAATTAAGAGACAATCAAGGAGCCACTTCAAGCAAATAAACACAATAATTTGGTATGGAGACAGTTTACGAAGGATATGAAAACATGAAGATAATTACATTTACGTTCTCTTAGAATTCCATTTAAAACTCATCATTTCACTTACCTTTCGGGGAATAGCGTTTGTGATTTTTCTCCTTCACGTGCTTCTCCGATTGAATGAAGGAGGTCGAATTCAAAGAAAGATATCTGTCGATCAAATCAGTCATACTTTCTGCGTCTCCTTTGTGGACT